CTCTACAACAAAAACTGGATGAGCTTACATAAGATTTGTAATGTTGTTTTCGTGTCAGTGTAAACAATTAAATTGTAGTCAAGCGGCTACCAAATTGACTCCTAACTTCTAAATTTCTGATCGTATAAATTTGATTTAAACATTTTCCGATAGCCTATTTCTCGACGATTAAAAATATATAAAATTTACCTTGTCTTGGAGCAGCGAGTATAGGAAATTTTGAAGAACAAATCAATTTCACGCGTTGAAATTGAGTTGTCTTATTTAAAATTTTACATTGATTGGAAAAACAGGTTTTACTAGTGATGAGAAATTAACCAATCGTATGCAATCAAAATAATTTAATTATCTTTAGCCAATGACAGTCTACTACTCAGATCTGAGTAGCTCGACAAGCAATCGCGTGAGTTTTCACAGACTGTAGTACAGAGTAATACAGGCTGTGCACAGGCTAATACAACTACAGTTAGCATAAATTTTAGAGCAAATTTGGATGCTCAGAATGCAGGAAATGGCATTTCCGTGGTTCAAATTTCAAAAATTTTCTGGGGGAGTAGACCCCTACACACCTGACCATTGCTATCCTCCTCTAATAAGTAATGATAAATTATGGTTAATTCAGTTTTTTACTTTTTGTGTGTTTCTTCCTTTATTTATTTCAAATACAAGTATAGTTAGGATAAATTTTGGAGCAAATTTGGATGCTCAGACTGTAGGAAATGACATTTCCGGGAGTCAAATTTCAAAAATTTTCTGGGTGAGTACACCCCCAGACCCCCCATTCATGCGTGGTATATTTGCCACACACGTGGCTTTCAGCCATTACTACCCCCCTCTAAAATATTATCTCACAGAAAGGTCCCTTTTCAAAAAATGCCCCCCCCCCGCGGGAAAATCCTTAAAAAAGGCCCTGTAGCAAGATAAGCAATATTCTGTGAGTATTTTGTTAAAAGATGATAAAAAAGATAGATATACACTGCCATATACTGCCGAAAGAGTGGCCTGATTTGAAGAAGGTTGGTTGAAACGATTTTAGTATCTAGTTTGACCGAGAGTTTAACTCTTTGATGTCTCATTTTACGTGCAAACACCATATTATGTATGTCACGTATTAATAAATATCCAGTAAGATTGGTATTCATGGTCGTAAAGTTTTAAATTTATAATATACGGTATATTGGTTGTTGCCAAACTCAACAAAACATGTTTAATGATATTATTATAGATTTATAAAGTGTTTACATGGCAGCCTCACAGTAGCTAGCACAGTTTCACTGAGTCCTGCTGAGGTCTGCCTTGAGGTCTGCCAGGGGTTTCAAGGAACAAGGCATATTTGCAATGGGAAACACAGGAACAAAGTCAAAAATCATAGGCAACAAGGGAAGATGTAAAAGTGAACAAGAGACCATGGTTAAATCTTTGTGGGGACAAAGTGAAACAGTAACACAGACCCCCCCCCCCCCTGGGTGACTCTCCATGCTGGGTACTTGGTCATGCTTAGTATATGTGTCTAGGATATATATATATATATATATGTGTATATATATGTATATGTATATATGTGTATATATATATATGTGTATATATGTGTATATGTGTCTAGGATATATATATATATATATATGTGTATATATATGTCTAGGTCACTAAAACAATGACAAGCTGTTGTTTTGATAGCTTTGTGTTTAAAATATTTGATAGCTTGTGCTAACTGTGTGGACAATTTGTATTGTATTGTATTGTATTTGTATTGCAATTGTATTGTATTGTATTGTATTGTATTGTATTTGTATTGCAAACATGTCACAAATAATGTAATAATTATTATAAAATAACATGTATATAACGCGTGCTCTGATTGGTCGAAAACCCATGTTTGGATCAGGCCATCAGGGCAGGAAAAAATAATTTTCTTCCTGGAAGCACAACCGGGAGACAAAAATTTCCTGCAGACCAGCGGAGTATTTTTGTGCTAAATCTGTATGTGCATAAACATGAATGAATGAATGAATGAATGAGGCATGGGTGAATGAATGGGACATGCATAGCAAATAATAGCAAATCTTCGTTCAAACGAAGTTCCTGCAGCTGTTTAACATATCCTGCAAGCAGTACTCGCGTGCTCGCCTATTTTTTCCACCCCTGCAGGCCATCCAAACACAGAAGACTATCGTGTTGTTGTTATTTTATAAAACAATTACTTTATGGTTTCCCTGTTAGGATGGCCTGATCCAAACACTTGGGAATGTTACTCGAGTTAAGAAAAGCATGCAAAATCACTCGCCTTCGGCTTGTGCTTTCGCATGCTTTTCTTAACTTTCGCAACATTCCTGCGTGTTTGGATCAGGCCATCCAAACACGGAAAGCATAAAGTAATTGTATAACAAGACATTATAAAAAGAATAGTATTTTTAACACTACATCAGAAACACATTTTTCTTGTTTGAGAGTTGTTTTTTCGACTAGCTTATGTGGCCCACAGCCTCGCACCTTTCACGTTTGCAGTATACCCACCCAACAATTTCTTGATGACATCATACATTTTTCCCTGCACTTGTTCTAATTTTGCTCTGGCTATTATTTCCACTGGTAATAGGTGACATGCAATATCATGCATATATATATGCAACCTGTCATGTTGATGTCTTTTTGGCAGAAACAAACATTTGACCCCAATCCTTGAATCACATTCTGAATCAGTAGTTAAATATTTGGGAGTGGAGGGCATCCAGGCAAAATTTGGTATTAAAGGTCTCAGGATTATTATTACTCAGCCTGAGTGTTAATGGGCTGCTACTGAAACCTCTATTTATTTTACTAATTAAGATTTTACTTTTATTTTACAGAGATATGGCTATGGAGGATTTATTAAATTACATCATCACTGCAAAGTATGTTGCATATTGTGCAGTATAGCTTAGACAAATATTAACCCATTAAGCGCTAGCGCTCTCCCCTTGACGAGTAAAATCGTCTGGTGTTAGACAGAGTAAAATACTAAAGTAGGGTGCGTCAGGGTGCAATGCAACTCAATGGGTTAACTATAGACACATGTATGGGCAGATAGGCCAGTTAACCCACTAAGCGCCAGCGCTCTCCCCTTGACGAGTAAAATCGTCTGGCGTTAGACAGAGTAAAATACTGAAGTAGGGTGCATCAGGGTGCAATGCGACTCAATGGGTTAAAATACATCATCACTGCAGAGCAGGGCCTTTCAGAGGGGGGCACTGCCCCAGTTAGGGGCCCCCCAAATTTGCCAAATTTTAAAAAAAAATTTCAAATGTGAGAATATAAATAACGGTAGGAGAAAAAATTTTCTAAACCAAAATTTTACATTTATTGATTGAAAAAAGGGTTTGTGACCCATTTTGGAGTAGGAATTTGTCTGGGAAAAAAAATTTTTGAACCTTAGTTTTAACTGATACATGTTCGACCAGAAAATTTTTTTGACCCTTTTTTGAAATGCCTGAAAAAAAATGTACCTCCACCTGATTGGCACTCATTGTGTGAATTGTTCATATGCACTCACTATATAGCTTGATAGTCGCGATCTTTATAGTGCCATCATTGTGTGATTTGTTCACAGTCACCATATAGCTTGAGTGCACACCTGCACGCTCTGAGAAAGAGATTGATTACTTAGAGTAAGTCTTTAAGAGCCATCATTGTGTGAGTTGTTCACAGTCACTATATAGCTTGAGTGCACACCTGCATGCTCTGAGAAAGAGATTGATTACTTAGAGTAAGTCTTTAAGGGCCATCATTGTGTGAGTTGTTCACAGTCACTATACAGCTTGAGTGCACACCAAACTCTGAGAAAGAGATTGATTGTGTGAGTTGTTTACCATCACTATATAGCTTGAGACCAAATTCTGAGAAAGAGATTGATTACTTGGAGAGTAAGTCTTTATAGAGCCATCATTGTGTGAGTTGTTCACAGTCACTATATAGCTTGAGTGCACACCAAACTCTGAGAAAGAGATTGATTGTGTGAGTTGTTTACCATCACTATATAGCTTGAGACCAAATTCTGAGAAAGAGATAGATTACTTGGAGTATGAAGTCTTTAGGGACCCTCATTGTGTGAATTGTTCACAGTCACTATATAGCTTGAAACCATTAAATTCTGAGAAAGAGATTGATTAGTTGGAGTAAGTCTTTAGGGTCACCCTCATTCTGTGAATTCTTCACAGTCACTCATTGTGCGTGTGTACATAGAAGGAATTTTTTGTTAGATAAATCGACTAGGTTTCTCAGATATATGGATTGCTCTAGTTGTTCTCTTTGAAAGAGAACATGGTACAGTGATAGTAAATCACAGACATCAAATATATAAGATTCTAAAGGAATTGCTTTGGGAATTGCGACAGAAAGGGGTATGAAATTCTTATTGGAATTCCTATGGGCAAATATTCTATAGGAAGTCTTATAGGATTTTTTGGCGTAAGGATACGACGCTATCAGTATATTAAAAGCAAATATTAATTGTACCTTATTAATTTAAGGTCTTGCAGGTTTCTGTTCCTTACTAATTCTAGGGATTGAAGAAAAAGTACAGTCCAACACAAGCGCTGATTGTGAGCATTGATGATGCCACATATAAACAAGTACTTGTGCCCTCGTCTGTTCATACACAGATCACACTAAATTATAGCAGACAACGGAAAAATCTGCCAAAGTCAGACTGTATTTTTTAAGGTTTTTAACTTTAAGTGGCAGGGAAAGAGATTTACCAGACATTGGTTCACGACGCCATCAAGTATAATTAATAAAACGTTAACGATGCTTGCTCTGGTTTGCTTGCATTTCTCCCCCGATTGCTTTTATCTGTTGGAGGGAGATGTTCAATGAACAAACAAATAACATAGAAGTGAAAATATTGAAGACCAGGGACAGATGTACCATCATGGTACAGGGGTGTGCACCCCACCTAGTGGTGCATGTCTAGCACTCCCCTACAGAAGTCCATGAGCACCACTCTGAAAAAACTTGCTTGAGCATACATTTTCTGCTTTTCGAATAGCGATTAGCGGAACTATAATCATAACGCGTGTCGTTTTTTGAAACGATTTAATTCTTTATTTGGGAGCTTGGTATGATAAGATATGATATGACTCACACGAAGTCCATTCACAGTTACAAAGATATGCTCTTCCATGGAGACGTGCATTTAACTAATATAAATTGCATAAATATAGGAAAGAACTAAACTACTTATAAAAATATGTACATGCATGTAATATATAAGTTTACGAGATAAGAGACATAAACTCACTCCGAGACTGTGCACTGGATATTTGGACGGGCATGTTCCACAAAATTGCACCTTTATAGCTAAAACTTTTCTTACGAAATTCTGACAGGGGCCTATAGGAACAAAAAATTAATGATTTGCCCCATGCACGTAAGTTGTGCTCGTGCGCTGAAGACTGGGGATAAATTTTTGTAGGGAACGCTTATATCTTCTAGATTGGTCCAGTTTAACGATCTTAAAATTTCAGATGAGCGAGTGTATAATCAGAACTGGTAACTGTAACTCGTGCAGCCCTGTTTTGCATTCGTTGAGGCTTTTGTCCTAGACCCTTAGCCAGATTATCCCAAGTAATACTACAATAGTCAAAATGTGGCTGAGTTAAAGAATTGTAGATTTATTTAGCACAAGGCCAAGGGCTGAATGTGGAAGCAATGGTTTTAGTCTCCTCAAAACTCCGATCACCTTGGAGACTTTAGAAATAATCGCAGTGACATGAGACTCCCACGTTAAACCCTCGTCCAATTCCAAGCCTAAACCGATTTGACTGTTTTGATTTTATTCCCTGAGATAGTTGTTAGAGATCAAGTTGTTCAGGAATATTAACTTAACCTTTGTCGAGAAGCAACAATCATAAATTTTGTTTTCATTACATTAAGGCTAAGCTTATTCATGTTGAGCCAATTTTGTAGAATTTTTAAATCATCGTTTAAAACACAAATAATCTTATTGAGGTCATCATCAGCATGTCCTCCTCCATGACCATTACAACATTTTGAAAAGAAAAAAAATTATTTACAATAATTAATGATAATAGTGGCGAGGGAGCTTAAAAAAGAAACCATAAGGCTTATGTAAATTTAAGCTTCCTCATTTATCGAGGGTATATATAAATATCAAATAACATTTCAAGATTTGATAAATTATGGATAATAGGAGTGTAGGTATTAATGGATAATAAATAAATATAAATTCACACCAATTATAAATAGGTACACACTTGATTCTATTAGCGCACAGTAACAAAGAATATTCGTTCATTTCGTTATAAACATATAAGAAATTAAAAAAAATCATTTTAATGTATAAGGTAATAATTTATTTTATAATAAGTAATTTTTTAATTTTCTTTTAAAAGAAACAAAAGAAGTAATATTAATAATATCAATAGGTAGTGAGTTAAAAAACTTTGGACCCTGAAATCTTACAGAAAATTGTCGGATATTTGTACGACACAATGGAGTTCTAATGGCCATCGTACTCCTTGTATTATATGAGTGGACTTGATAATTTGATAGAAACATGTCATTAAATTTATTTGGTAAAAGACCACTG